GGTTCCCTTTTTCTTTTTAGGGGGGGCCAATTGTTTTTCCGGGGTCCCCAAAAAATTGAAATTCAAATTTCGAACTTCGGCCTTCGAAAAAAAAAACATCCCCTTTTGGGGGAGAAAGACCAGAAATCCCTTTTGCCCCCGGGGGGGGGGGGGGGGGGTTGAGCTGGTGCCCCTCGTTGGACAACCGTTACAGTAGTCTCCCGCGATTGAGCCATCCGCCACGTGCGGACCACGCCCCTCCATGACAATCACGCGCGGGCTTTGCTCCGTGTCCAGACATACTGTAGCACCGAGCCGGCTTAACGAGGGTCAGTCGGTCGTTGGGGGGGGCATCCCCGTCGCTCGGTTTACAGTCCGGCAGCTGAGGCTGCGGCGTCAAGCGCTGACATTTCTTGCTCCGACAGTCGCCACCCCAACGCCCCGCAATTTTCATCCGCCTGTTTGAGTTTTTTTTTTTTTTCGGGAGAGGAGAGTAAGCGCCGGAGCAGAGCAAAACGGGGGAGATGAAGTAAGCACCGGAACACAGTCAGTGGACCTGGAACTGCTAGTGGAAAGCCTAAGGGGGAAACTAGATTAGTCATTGGAGACAGGGGAGAGTAATATCCTTTGTCAAGAGCCCTTCCAACAAGAAATTGCCTGAAAAGTGAAACAAAAAATCGCCACACAGACCCGGAGATATTTATATTTTTTATCATGATTTTTGTTGCCCCCACCCCGAGCTCTCGGTTAGGCTGAGGCGATCATTTTTTCGTAGATCTGGCACGACTTCCCCCCTGGGCAAACACAACAAATCGACAGTCTCCTTCCCGACAACCGTTGCTTTCCCTTAACCTGGCCTAGCTCCCGCAGCTACACCCATCCTTTTGAATATTTTATCGCAGGAGTTATGGAGGCCCGGCATCGAGGCAGAGACAAAACTCAAGGTTAACAATTTGCAAAGGGAGGGAGGGCGGGAGGGGGGCAAGAAACGAATACGTGGCTTGGTACTCGTGACTAACCTGTCTGATGTTCTTCGCTCCCGGGATCGGAATGGTTCCCTTGGTAATGCACCAGTTCAGGGAAACCTGTGCAGGCGTTTTGTCCCTGTTTCGGGCAAGAGCAAGGGGGTACGCGGCCGAGGTACGATAGGGGGGGGGGGGGGAGAGAGAGAGAGATGACGTCCTTGTGAAGAGAAAAGCGTTTGTCCGACAGCACTCAACGCTTTTAGAGCCGTGTTTGTCTTTCCCCGAAAAGAACCAAGCGCGCGTAAGCACCGTGAGAGGTGTTGGACGAGTCAGCTTCACACGAAGGGCGCAACCACTCTTACACTCTTGTTAAAAAAATAATGAAAAAAGGTCGGCGGATTTTGGTACTAAATATAATACCATTATTTAGCGTGTCAACGGCGGTGCGTGGCGGAAAGAGGTACGGGTGCGAGCCACCCATCGGCACCACAGCAGTCCTTCTCCATGCACCCTGGAGTTAGTTGCGTTTGTGCAGGCCAGCCCTCCTGCGTCCTCAAAGACCAGACAATTTTGAAGCGCGGTAGATCACTCTGCCTGATGGCGAAAAAACTTTAGATATACACGAAACAGCACCACGATCTCTTCAGGACTATCGATCGCCCCAGACACAGGAGCCCCGCGCCAGGAAAAAGAATACATACGGACAAGCAAATACGAAGAATATAGGAAAACACACACACTTTTAGAAGTTTTTTGTGTTTTTAACCGCACTGAGACTGACGGGTTTTCATTGGTCAGCCGGTTAGCGCGGTCGATGCTAGTAATGAGCCGCGGAGCGAGCGAAGCGAGCGACATCCTTTCCCTTCGTCCCCAGGAGGGAAAAAAAGGCTCTACATATCGGCCAAAGTTGCGCCGCGCGATACAGGGGCCCCAAAACTTGTATTTAGCACACCTTTGGGGCCAGAACGAGATCTATAGGGCACCGATTGACGATCTGCTCGCTTCTGAGGAAGAAGAAAAATAGCGCGCTCTTCTCCACACCGGTTTCGTCGTGCTCCGAGAGCAGATGGCCGTGCTTCACCGGCATGTGTAAGCTATATTCGTAGGATATTTTGCTCCCCAACCCCGGGGTTTCTACGCGAAAAGGCGTGCACAAAAGCGGAGATCGCGCGCGCGCGCGATTCAGACCAGGACAAGAAACACCGACAGAGACGCAAGAACACCACCAACAAACGCATCACCGCTGAGACGCTGGTTGGTCTGAGACCAGCTATGAAAACCAGGAGGGGCCGGGCCTATACGACCTGTGCACCGTGGGTGTACTGTAGGCATGCGCCATGTGTAACCTGGCGGGTATTTATTGATGTTGAGTGGGTCCGACCAACTGCTTCTAAAAGAGCAGACCGATGTTCACACAAATAACACACCTTCCCACGCCATGATCACACCTACCATCATCGAGAGAATCCGTCGAGGGCGTGGGGGTCTACTACTGCTGCTGCTGTGCGTTATCAGGATGGTTCCTCGCGGGATCGGTTCAGATTGCGTACTTGCGCCGCGCTTCTGACTGTCTTCGCGAAGAAAGCCGTGCCCTGCATGCTGTTGTTGCTGCTGCAGGGCTGCAGCAGGGCCTTTCGGCCTCTCGCGTCAAAGTCATGACGTCACATGACCATCAACGGCTTTTTGTTGTTTTGGTTCATGCTGGACTGCTTGATTTCACTTGGGCGAGAAACTCCGAAAGCTTGAGACGAATGTGGCGGGCAAGTTGTGAGCGAGCCTGACGCAATGTTTGCCATCTGTCGCGTCACAATCCTATGTCTACGCTGCTGGTCGTGCTCCTCGACGGTGTGATGTGTGATACGCTCGCCGCCAGGGGGATGTCGCATGTATGTGTGCCTCTTCCAGATGTCCAGATGTGCTGTGTGTGTTGGCGTCCGCACAGCGGGAAGACTTCACATTTTGTTTGTTCGTGCATGCGCATCAAAACGGAAAGAAACAACTGCATGTAAAGTGCAAAACGGTGGTCGCTCCCGTCGCACGCCTGCTGTCCCTCTGTGGTGCACGCGTAGCTGCACCGCAAACGATTCACGCGTGTGTGTGTAGGGATTCGTGCACCATCAGCATCGCAGATAAAACTACTGCAAGGTATTGAGTCGCACCACGCGGCTCATTACCCCCCAATACCTAGCAATAAATACACACACACGCATCGACCCCCCCCGACGTAGCCCCAGATGATGGTCTTAAGAAGCATGTATTGTTCCTAGCCACACTGGAACTCACCTATTTTCGTATTGGCGCGTTCGATGCCAGAAACTCACACACAAAGAGGTTCGTTTCGGCGTTCACATTCAGCGCGTCGTGGCAATTTTCGAAGTTTGGCCCCCTTCCAGAGACCCCGATTTTACCCGCTGGCACTGACGTGATATCATTGGAGGGTCGGTTAGCGTGGTCGATGCAAACCGACAATAATAAGAACATAACACACACCTTGGGGTTCCAATTTCTTTGAGCTTGTCCACGAGCGGCGCAACGGTGGGGAGCTTCTTCTTGAATACCCTGCCTCGTGGTCCACTGCATTTGCCGGGACATGGGGCGTACAAAAAAAGCATGAAATGTCCGTTTAACGTGTGAATCTTGCGAAAACATTCTTTCGTTCGAAAAACAACCGACGTGTGCGATTGTCAGGTCGAAGAGTACGCTGGGGGGGGCGGGGAAATTCTTCTGTTTTTGAAACGTCTGGCATGCGTCGACGCCATCCCTGCGGGGAAATTAAATCGAAGGCGTTTTCGCGTTGATTGTCCCTATTTGTACTCTGACGAAACGAGACGCGCCCCACCTGCCACAACCAAAGGGACGTCATGGAGGAAATGGCTCATGAAAGGGTCTCATTTCCCGTCAGGTCGGGGTACATTTCCGAAATCAGGGGAAACTTCCGTAGAAAAGTAGCCACGGCAGGGTATACCTCGCCCTTTTTTAGGAAGCGGCGGGGTAAAAGTGGGCCTTGACCAGTCAATCTTCTGGGTTAATTTCACGCTGTTGATTAGTATGAACCCAGGGTATACCCTGTTTTGCCGTACGCCCAAAGAACAACAAACATCGCTGTCTTCGCCATGCGCTGCAACAAAACAACCGTTTCATCGTCGCAGTCTCGCAAACAAAGCGAAACGGAGACGGCCGTGTCTCTCCCCCCTCGCCTTGGTGAAATTGCGTGACCAAATAGACAACAACTGCTGTGGGTTTGAACCCGAAGAACCACATGGCCTTCCATCTACGAAAATCCCTACCTCGGCACGAAGTCCTTGGAGTACTTTCCCGTCAAGAGGCCTTGCGCCAGGGGTGAGTAGGCCAGCACGCGAACGTCCAGGTCTTCGCACAGCGTCAGCATGCCGCTGGTTTCGGGCTTCCTGTGGCACGGGTAACAGCAGGGGGCGCAACGGCGGAATTCAGGGCGGGGGACAAGTCCACAAATGCAGAGTGGTTCCGGAGGCGTCTCCCCCCCCCCATGCCCGTGGTCGAGCAGATTATGTTGCGCGGGGGTCGAGAATCCTCACTCCGCGCAAAGGAGATGATCGCACCAGGTTGTGTTAAGTTGGTCAAGCATGCTCGAGGCAGTTACACAGCGCTTACAACTGTCTCTGGAAGTGAAAGCACCAGAAAATAAATTAAGTCATTCGCAGCCGTCATCCGTACGCAAGGAAGTAAGCACAAGATGCCGAACACCCTTGTAGCAGGACGCAGCTCACCCTTCATGCGACTCGCCGAATACCTCACGGCGCTTCGCGCTTGGTGATGTGAGAGCCTGGTCCGGTGAGAACCCGGCGTGCTCCATCCCGGGTTTGTAGGGATGCGATGTCGATGGTCTAACGACTATAGCATGCACGACCATGAGTGCACCCCCCCGCCCCTCTCGTTTCAACAGCACCCAACCGTCACTGATCGGACCGCACGCGCACGCGAGATCCCCTCTCTCACCTGTCAGCGAGCGAGAACTGTATCTGGTTGCTGCCGAGCTTGACCCCTCTCGCTTTCAGGGCCGCGTGCGCGTCTTTGACGGCCTCCGGTCCGTAGTTGCTCACGCCCACCGCCTTTCACGCGGAAACGCGGGGAGGGGAGAATAGGGAGAGAGAGAGAGAGGGAGGGAGAGAGACAGAGAGAGAAAGCGCCAAGTACGGCAAGACAAGAATGGGCGTGGGAAACGGGTGCTCGTGAGCGGGAAGGGTGAATTGGAGAAGCAGGTGGTTGCGCTCGAATATAAAAACTGGAGTTGCTGCAGCGGGGACTGCGGCTGCGCCCGGCGCGCCGCGCGGGACACGGTCACATTGTGGCCGGCCGCCGACATGGCTACCTCGTAGCACCTCCATCGATCGCACCACAACCACCACCCCGCACCGCGAAGATGATAAAAAAACAGCAAAAGCCATAGCGGTGACAGCACTACCGACAACAACGCAGCACCAGCAGTATCTAGAGGCAGCATCTAGCAGCAAAAGAAAACACCTGTTTCTCGTCATCACCGATGACGACAAGAACGGCGAAGCCGTCGACCACGACGACAAGCAACAAACAATGAATAACACCAGCAAACAACAACAACAACAACAACAACAACAACAAATAACACCAGCAAACACCAGCAACAACAACAACAACAATAGCAGCCACAACAGCACCGCAAGCAACAACACCACCAGCAGCAACAACAACAACAGCCGCAGTAACATCATACCGTATAACAACGCTCTCGACACTACACTAGAACGTTCCGACCTCCTCACCTTTACGAGGCCCTGGTCAACGCAGTCCGCCAGACCGTCCCAGTAGCGGGAGTTCAGCGCCCCGAACGGCCAGTGGATCTGGTAGATCTCCATGCTCTCCGCCCCCATCCGGTCCAGCGACGCCCTGGTGTTGTCGTTGTTGTTGTTTCAATGGAGTGGAATGAAGCGGTTGAGGTGCACTGGTGAAATCCTTGCAAAACACTGAAAACTCGAAATAACCTTTGGGCTAGGGATAGCGGACGGGACGGCACGAATGAAACTGCCAACACCTTTGTTTTTTGGCACCAACCCACAAAAGTCGCTATCCACGTTTCTTGCTCGGTACTTTTTTCAGCCCTACCAACAACTCATACCAGGTACCAGCTGAAACAAAGAAAAACAAACGCAAAAAAAAAAAAACGTAAAAAAAAAAACTCACTTGCAGGCGTCAACCACGGAGCCACGTCCCAGTCGCCACGGAAGCGGGGCGAACTTGCTAGCTGTTGACACCAACCAAAAATTATTTGGCGTGTGAGGGGAGGGGGGCATAATCGAAAAGGACGCAATAGCGGGGGTGAGAGAGGGGGCTGTTAGGTACCAGGTGCTGTTCAACGTACTGCGTTTCGGTTGCCCTTGACCCGCCGGCCACGTATCGCTTCGGAAAACAACCACCGTGCCTGTGTTGAGCAAACTAGAGGTATCTGGGAAAACCTTCTTTACGTTGCAGCCAGCTACGATAGCCGGTAGGGAATATGTTGCTGACACGACTTGATGGCCAGAGAGAAGGGGACAGTGTTGGCAGATTATTCCAAGACCTACACCACGCGAGTACCACCTGTCGATCGGCGACCGGGCGTCACGTCTGCAATACAAGAGAAAAACGAACTGCCACGTGCCTTTATCTACGAGGATCAAAGGCCGAAAAAGAGGAAGAAAAAGCTGCGAACACTGCAGAATGTGCGCAAGTAGTGGAGCACGTCGAAGGTAGACCTTGCCCACCGGAGAAGCCCATCTATCTGATCTGTACCGGGGCCTCCGGAGAAGCACGGGCACAAAATGGAATGCAAGGTCACTCGGTGCGCTGTATGCAAACAGGGCTACCGGCCTTACACATTAATTTTGACTGTGACTCACTGTTGTGGTCTGTATAATGACTCACGATTACTGCTATCTGGCTGATGACTCACTATTTCCTGTTGTCTGTAAAATGAACTCGTTGTTGCTTTTCCCACTCTCTGCACACGATAACTTACCGATAACTATTCCGTTCTTGTCGGCCCCCTTGTAGTCCCGCCTGAACTTCCCGCAGAGGTACTCCGATCTCCCTACCCCGTACACCTCGGCCGTGTCGAAAAGATTCACCCCCCCACCCACGCAGTTACCAAACACCTGTAGGTGGTTGTTTGACAGTGTAAGACAGGGGGGGGGCAGCAGCAGCAGCGGCAGCAGCGGCAGCAGCCTCGTATTGAACTTGTCGAAGCAGCACCCGCAGCGGCAGCAGCAGCAGCAGCAGCAGCAGCAGGCTTTGGTCGCTACTGATGTCGGGCCCCGACTTAAGAAAAAAACACGGTTGGTTCTTACCCGAGCAAGTGGGATTGGAGCACAAAAGCAGCAGCAACAGTGATGGCCTGGTTGGGTCAAAACGCCCGTCAGCACACGCTCCCCCGGCTATCTCATGTCTCATACGGTGCGACCAGTAACCGTTTCGCCTTGTGCTTTTTCTCTTAATTTTGACGTGCTAGACTTCTCTCATCCCCTTCCCCTACTTATTTCCACGACGTACGTAAGCTGCATCACCAGCAGCGAAAATAACTCAACCTTCCGCACACCACGGAGCCTCCTCACGGTCTACGGCTACCCGGAACTCCACCCCGCCCCCCGCGGACGCAGACAAACAGGAGTTCACCTACTCGGCTGTATGCTGTTGCTGGCATTTGTGGCGAGGTTCAGGTACAACTGCTGTACCATGGTAGTAAAACAAAGGTGAGCAATAACTCCGCACACAGCAGAGTCGCCCAACCCTGCCTTCCTCACAAGGTTCAACAGACTCGAAAACACGCCTTCACAACCCCGCATCAAGCCCATGCCGCCGAGTCCTCGTGCTACAAGCTCTCCCGACACAGGGCCACACCACACCCACCTCCTGCAGCTCCTTGTCCATGGCCTCGCTGTAGCCCCAGAACACCGTGTCCCCCCACGACCAGGCCCCCACCCCCAGGGGGGACACCTCAACCCCTCCCAGGCTGACCCTGTCCTTGGCGGCCAGGGCCACGTCCTTCGCCCCTTCCATGGCGGCCTTGCCAATGCCGTTCGCTCCGTCCTTGATTGCCGCGGCTACCCCGCCAGCGGCTTTCTCCGCCGCGTCGACGATGTCTTCGTCGGCCATCCTGTTGTCGTACCGTCGTTGTTTGGTTCCATCCATTCATTTGTTCGAACGGTGTACAGTGGGGGCGTCGACAACGCCGGTTGATTAGCGCCGGTGGCCCTGAATAGCGCCGGTGACATTGCCGGGCACAGACTGAATCGCCAAGTCATTCTGTACATTGAATAGCGCCGGTCGATGCGCCGGGGCACATGCCGGCGTTATCGAGGGCCCCCCACTGTAATTAAGAGCTGTTTCCGTGAGTAATTCCAAATACATTGAAAATTGAAGGCAAGAACCGCGTGCGGAAAGGTGCAGGGAAAAAAACACTCCCCGTGTTTACCTTCCTCTTGTGTGACCCCTCCCGGCTGGTACGTAAAAAAAACACACCGCGAAAATGCGTAGAGTACAGTAGCTGGCGCCCACATTAGACGCCGGAAATAAATTCAGAACAAGGCGCATGTTACCGGGTTTAAACGGGATATATATATGGATATGGGACGGGAACAATGCTGTAGGCACTCTGCATCTCGCCCTCTCTGCGGCACAATACAGAAAAGGCGCCAGCACAATGCTGTAGCCGGGAATCCCTGCACTCGCTGGACAGGACGAAATCGTCGTGGTCGTTTGCATGTGTGTGCATGGCATTCTTAACTGCCAGCGTAGATACTTATACCTTTGTTGGCTACAGACATCATTGACTTCGAACAACTTGCTGCTGTACGTAAAACGCAACGTAGCCAGCTGTTGTAGGTAGTTGTTCTAGGCGCCAGTCTGCACACCTTCGTAAGTGTTTGACCCACCAAGCCAGGGTCATGTAGTTGATTCTCAAGGAGTTTTTTAACGCTCTCTAGAGCGTTCAGCATCCACCACGTCTGTGTTTACTCACGGTGATACATACGTTTTCCACGCAAATCGTTTTCTCCTGAGAGATTCGAACCCGCAATCCATGCATGCTGTAAGAGAGAGCAGGAAGTCAGAAGGTTGCCAACACGTGAAAGCGGCGCAATCGCACGCTGTGTAGTACACAGCAGTCAGTCATGGGTACATTGTAAAGCAGGTGCGTGGCGAAACACCAACAGGAGAAGGAGCTCCACACACCACGTGCCCATTCCACGGCATTGAAGAGGAAAGCCGTTCGATGCAGATCATGAAGGGCGTGGGACATTTGGAGCGTGGTTGGTGCGTGTACATGTTGTACTCAGGCTGCGTACACGCAGAACACAAACCAAGTCAGGCAGGCAGCGTAACTAAAATCTCGTCGAGGGAAGGTGGCCTCTCCCACAAGTGAGCACTGACACACCCTCTTCCCCTCGCCCCCCCCCGCAACAACTGTCTTCCAGGCCACCTACCTAGGAAGAAACCAGGGTCGGCAACGCCCAGTTGTTGTTGAGTGTGGAGCAGCAGAGTCGTGACTCACCTCATGCGCTGGTGAAATGTTCTTGATGTTGCTGCGCGACAGCCGACTCTTCGCCCAACCAGAGTTGACGCCCGGGGCGAGACAAAGGCATCGACGCTCAGTGAGGCCACAGCCAGTCCCGTGGTTAAAAGAACACGTGCAGGAGCCATGCCTTCTCTTAGTCCAGTCGGCGTTATCTGAGTTGTCAGGAGGAGAGGGCAAGATGTGCTACCTGTCTAAGACCAGGCTGGTGGAAAAGTGCGGGCCAACAGGTGCCGCTTCGTGGCGGTAATTGCGTTTCCCAGGTGTCCCCTCCCTACTGTGCTAACTGTGCTACAGTTTACGCCGGCGCATCGTCAGATACCACATGTGTGTTCCCTTTCTCTCTCTCCTCCCACTCTCTACGGCGCTTACAACATGAGGAGTTTTTTGGTAGTGGCTACGCTCACTGCTGCGGCTTCGGGGGCTAGCCCGGCGCTCGGCTTTCTTGCGTCGGGCAACCGTGCGGTCCGGTCGACGAACAAGGTGAGCGTACCGGGAGTGACATCGCAAAAGAGGCACGGCGCATTCCGACTCACACACACCCATCACTCACTCAGGACGGCTTGGGTGCACTAAGAAGAGACTTCGTCGTCCTTGTTGACCCCCAAATGAAGTGAATTGGTTTTAAAACAGCATCAAACATACATCTAGAGTATCTCGTGGCATCTGGTCTCGGCTACATACGCTAGACTAGCATGCAGCAGTTGTATTATCTGCTGATCGACTGCCAGAGCTCGCTACAATATATCGCCTTCCTCGAATAGGAGAGCAGAGACAAAGTTCGTGTCAGGCGAGTACTTCGTGTATAATCAGCACACGTACTGGTCTTGATCCTCTCAATCTTCGTGTTTCGCTATAGAGTACAGTCACCTCTTCGTCGAGCAACACACACAATCGCATCCGACATACGCCGACGGATCAGGATGTCAAGCCAACCTCTTTGACAATATTAGACACCAACCTTGAACGTGCGGAATCAATGCCTTCTGTTGCGACGGCAGGCCTTACAGCTGCAAGCCTCCCCGGGCGACCCACTATCGTCTAGGCCTACAAGGGTTCCTCCCAGGTTCAGCCGCGGCAGCACACGCGGCCCGCCCAGCAGCAACAACAACGTCGGCCGGTCGGAATTTGACAGCAGCAGCAGCACCAGCGGGGGATTGGGTGGTGCTTGGAGAACAGGGGGGACATCGTCGCCATCACCGACATCTCCAGGGATTCACGCCGCCATAAGCGACACCGTGGTCGACGACTTCGGGGGCAGTGGGAAGGTGCCCCTCCAGGAGCGGCTGCAAGCAGCCCCGACTTTCCTACGGGACAAGGCCGTCGACCTGCGAGAGGATGCTCGTGACCGCGTGCAAGACATTCGGGTGAGCGTATGGAATCACCTGTGCCTTACAAGTACAGCAGTCTGGTGGAAACCCATTCCAGCTACAATAATTTCAAGGCACTGAGAGGTCTCACACGTCATGCGACAGCAGTAGCTACATTGTGTCCGTGTAGAAAGTGCGCTTAGCAATGGTATCGCTGATTTTCTCGCGTTTTCATGACCAGAGGTGAGAATACCCCTTCTCTGTGACGAGTAAGGGTCCCTGAAGCGGTGATTAGCCGTTCACTTGATATGTGGCGAGGAAGTGCCAAGTGTAGCTGATAGTCTCAACTTGGCTAGTTTCAAGAAAGGTGGAAGGTGAGAGAGTGCGGGGCGTGGGGCGCCTTAGCCACCATCTCCCCATCTCCGAGATTCACATGATGAATGGTCACGGTATTCTGTTAATCTTTCCTGGCAAGTGTCTTCGGCCGGTAGAACATTGTTCATGAAGTCCGACGATCTTTGCTGGTCGCATGTGCATCATTACCTCTAGGAAGATAGTTCTATATTGGTTTCCACAGAAGGCGCTCTTCTAACCTAGCGGATCGAGTTGCGAGGTTGTATCGAGTTCGAACACAACTCCACAAACTTTGTGTTGGTGCAAGTGTCTGTGATGCCCAGAATCCATTTTCGACTGACGGAACACACAAACGGCATGGTCCCCCACCGATTTCTTCTCCTCGCACTCACCACCGTTCAACGTACACACCCTCCCGCCCCACCAGGAGGGTCTAGCGACGGTGACGAGCTCCATCAACTCGGACTACGTCGCGCCCTTGGCCCACCTGGCCCGCAACCCTTCCACCATCCACTACACCGCGGCCATGTCGGCACGCCTCTGGTACTTCATGGCGCAGCAGTCTCTCATCTCGAGCACGGTCGGCGGGAAGCTGTCCGTTGATCCCGTCGCGCTGTCGCGCGCGATACTCGCCGCGCTGGCGGGCGGGCGGGAAGAGCCCATTCTAGAGGCCATGCGCATCATCCCCGATGAGAAGATCACGTCCACGGAGAGCTACGCTTGGTGGTCACGAAACCTCAAAGGCATCGTCGCCGTCATGAAGTGAGTTGAGCGTCTCTACGAAGCACGGGATTTTTTTTGCGTCGGGACGTTGAGCATTCTCTACGAAGCACGGGGCTATTGGTGGTACACAGCATTGTCGACGTTGAGCATTCTCAGTGTTCTCGCGGCTTGTACTTTTGTGCTGCAGAATAAGTTCCCACGGGAACCAGAGGCATTGGAACCCGCGTGCTCATGAAAGTCGTACCAATCTCTTCTTGGTGATGTCAACTAAGCTACATTGCAGCTCCAACTTGCTCGCAGGGACGCTCATTTGGACACTTATCTCGACGCTACGTGTTGCCAAAGTTAGTTTCGCATACAGCCCATAGCCTCGAGAGGATACTTCCTGTCCCTTGCCCCTCCCCACCCCGCCGGCCCTGGTTTCCTTTCGATCGCCATGCGGTTTAATTGTCCGTCCAACCTGGTACAGACCTTTTGACAAAGCTGCTTCTCTGATTGATGCATGAATGTGAAAAAGACGCGAAGCCGTATCCATCGAGAGTGGCGAGTACAAGCTACCGTACGACATGAGGATCATCGAGGCAATGGGGCTGTTGAGGTACAACCCGGCTAAAATGCTGGTGGCATTCTCCGCCTACTACAGGGATGAGCTCCAGCGGAAGGTAAGGGCGGGAAATGCCCGCGTTTTTTCTACGAGCCACATGAACCTCTAGATGTTGAAAAATCATACAAGAGCAAACAGCAGTTCCATGGGTATCTTTGTTCCTTTCGGTCGTTGCAGCTCTGATCGCGACTCAAGCGGACGTAAATACTTTTTCTCGCGGAGTCTCCCTAAGGGTTTAGGAGTACCCGGCAACAGCTAGCGTTGTTCAGCCTTGATGTCGTCGTTTTATGCTAGGCATATCTCGAGCATCTGGGAGCCCCTCCCTGCCCCCATCATCTGTGGTTTTCCCGTCTGGGATGCTTGAGCTGAAACACGCGTAGTCGCGTGGCAGGCGGTTATCTGTGATTGACCTTCCATATAAACAAAGTGCAGGCTGTACGTAGGCCTTACAGTTCAAAACATAGAGCACAAATCGCACGAGTGCGGGAGTCTTGCTGCCGTGTACCTCCTCTTGTTCGTGATGCGCCGGCCCGTCGCCGTGGACAGCGGCTATCACTACCCTCGTACCTCCGCACCACACCACAATGAATGGTAGAGGGGCTAATTGTACCAGTACCAACATTGCCTCGATCCCTCCTCAATTCTGCACCGACCGAACCTGGTGCAAGCACAGCATGCCACCGCGCCTTGTCGCTGATCCCGCCGCAACATGTTCTGCCTCCCGTGCGTGCCTTTAGCACAAGGCGAGCGCGAAGGCGGAAGACGAATTTCCTTCGCCCACCTTCTCCGCGCCCGGGCGCTACCCGGAGTACTTCCTGACGAACGAAGACCTCCTGTCGACCAAAGGCTCGCAAACGATGGACTACAACTTGGAGTCCAAGGTAGGTATTTTTCTAAGAAGAGGTGTCCGGAGTTGTACCATGTCTAAATACGAATGAATGTTGTTGTTGTTGTTGCTGTCTTCCCCATACAAAAACCGTTCCGATCTCTGCTCAATACCTTCTGACTCCTGGCATCTGTGCGAGAGAGATAACGACCGACCAAAGCGCCCGTGGGAGAGAGAGTACTTTGAAGTTGATCACGACAAAAAAATAAACTTTTCGACAAGCGCACGAGGGCAGACTGCGTTTTCGGATCTACTCGGTGCCACATGAAGTGCAGCCAGCGCAGCGTCCCGCACGTCTCTCTTCGTCTTCTTTCAGTCCAATGGACGACCTGCTCTGCCGAGAAGAGGGATCGAAGCACGGAGATACCCGCCGCTAACTTCTTCGTGTAAGGCTTCCGGAATGCCGTTACACTCGTCGTTTCCCCTCCCCATCGTATGTAATACCTTGCTTCGCTAGATGTGGGGCATGGGTGATGCCATGCGCCGGCGATCGATCCTGCGCATCGGGCGTGCGTTAGCCGACAAGGACCCTGAGACCGCATCCCTCCTCGACGTAGGCTGCGGCACCGGTAGATTCCTGACCTTCGTCAAGGTAGGCAATAAGATTCCAAAATACTTCTTTGAGAGAACCCTGGCAACCTGCCCCTCGGCCGGGTTGTGACGACGCAACAAAGGGCTGTCGCACTTTACCTGGCAGGTTGCAATGACGCTCAATCTGAAAGTGCCCGAGATCCGGCGCAGAGAATAACAGGGTACTCAGCTTTGTTCTGTCACATGTTGCGTCTCCCCCTGCCTCGTCCTTCGGCCTTGCGGTTTTCCGCCCCGCCATCTTTCCCAACCCCCCTGGACACCTGGGGTGATTGCATTGAACGTCCGAAAACACCGCCCTGTGTTTGGTGATCCCAGAACAACTTCGAGACGCTGAAGGTCACCGCGCTAGACCTGTCCCTCTTTAACCTGAGGATGGCTAAGCAAAACCTTAACGGGGTCGAAGGCGTGACCTACGTCGAGTCTAACGCGGAACACATGGCTATCGAGAACGAGTCCCAGGACGTGGTCACCTGCAACTTCGTCCTGTCCACCATCCCCAAAGAAGCCCAGGTAATACATAGAACAGGGCGGCAGGTAGCTATTGTGGGTGTATCGAAGGCGACGTGGCGATATGCAGGCGGAGAGTAGTGTTCGTGGGTATCAACTGCAGCCGGAGATTTTTCCCTTCTTTTTTACCCAGCGTGGTCAGCTGCAGTCAAAGGGAAGATCTACATCTGAAGGGTCTTGGTGATTTCGCCCCGCTACCACCCCCCCCCTCCCCCCCCCCCCCCCCCCCCCC